AAAAAATTGGGTACAACCATGTTTAGGAAATGCTTTAAAAGTGATTACTAGAAGAAAGTGCACTTAGTTTTCTTGTTCTTATATTCTTTCTTATCTCTAGTATCAGTGCTAAAAGTAACTGTTGGTAAAGAAGTGAAAATTGTCAAAACAAGACTGTGATTAATAATCTCAAAGCCAAAAGGAGATTACAAATTCAGAAAATGACAGTTGTAATATGGAAATCCAGTATTAGTTTATAGTTGATTATCAATTTTATACAGAAAATGATACGTGATAAGAAAAACTCTTCCTAGGATGAAAATTTCTTTATAGTTTTAATGACTCTATCATTGAATTATTTCAAATTGTGATACTATTTTCTTCCTAAGAGCTTATTGATGTGTCCACATTCTATTCCAATAATGGTCCTAAGATTACAGGTAGGATACTGGGACACTAAAATAATAACAATATTTTGTCAGAGATGACCAAACTTGTTAGATGCAGAGACAAGGCCACAACTAGATTTCTGGTTGGGTAGATTTACTCCCCTCCTACCTTTCCCCATTAGACTGAATTTTTAGTAATCAAATAGGCTTTCTCAGGTATGGGGACTTGGAATATGCTGTTGTAATCAGACAGCATGAGCTAACATGTTTTAGAAATGTACTTGACTTCATTTTAAAAAGAGAACATTTATGATTTCTCACTATATCATAATGCAATATGAATAAAGTCCTTTCCAAGTTTCATGTTTGTGAGGAAACTGCAGATGAGTGACAGGGCAGAGAAATGAACCTATTATCTCTGTAATGGTAATAGTGTGCTTCACAGGGGAACTTGTGTCATTAAGAGTGAGTTATTTTCTTGCAGATGCTTTCTGCACAAGCTATTAATATATTAAATCAGAAGGAATTGGAAAGTGCTGTCTAGGGACTTAGGAATATAATTTATAAGTTTCAGTGTTCACCTTTACTTGAAACATCATGTAAATCTGTTTTTGTAGATGTATGCACAAGCATTAACATGGTTTCATGCATCAATTTCTTTGTACATATCTTTTCTTTCTATATGGAATGTCCTTTATCTTTCTTGTGTCAAGTCCCTCTGTCTCTAAGACCTGCAGCAGTTGTGTGCTCTGTGATGAAACCTTTTATCCCTGTAACCAACTTGTTGCTTCCCTTTGTATTCTCAGAGCAGTTGGTTCCCATTGCTATATTTTCATTTGTTGTCTGATAAATCTCTTTCCATCTTCATAACTCACAGTTGAGTGTGTGCTTCTCAATGGCAATTCAGTTTTCAATTCATATTCCAGCATCTTGCATGATGCCTGCATATATTGAGTATGCAGCAACTATTAAATGAAAAATGTATATTAAATATAGTATATATATATATTATTTACATACCTCGCCTCCTTCAAGCATGTGTTTAAGATGGACTATAAGCAATATAGCACATTAGAAGAAAACTGGAAGACAAAAAGAGGAGGATGGGAAATAGAATGGGGCCAAGGATGAACTAATTCACACGATGAATCTCTAAGTGAATGTGTAGTGTGAATGAGTGCGTTTGCATGTACAAGGAAGCGTATATGTGGAAACTTACAATATACATTTAAAAAAAATCTATCCTGTTTGATAATTGCATTTTTACAATTTTGGCTTTGAAACGATTTCTTGTTTTTCTAAGTTGTTCATTTTGTCACTATATATCTGGTGCTAAATGGTTTCTCTGAGGAATGCTTTATTAGTCCTAAGATTCTAATGTGATCAGCATGTGGTGAAATGGAGTGGTGTGAGTTAGTCCCACTTCTGTGAACACAGGAATCTGTAATATGACTGTTTATGGTGCTCTTTAGCTTCTGAAGATTTCGTGTTCTAACTTCTGTCACCTGCACTCTTTTAGAAAGCACATAGCTGTGGGGTAGGAATGCAAGAAAGCTAACTGGAAATAACAAACTTTTCCTGGAATAAATATGTTTTAAATTAAATTTAACTAAGAAGTACCTGTGAATTCTAGCTTGCTCTCCAGGTGACTTATTTGCCAAATTTAAATAAATTGACAGATTAAAATTAATTCTTATTCGCCTGTTCTCAAGATTACATTTAAGCAAATCTCAGAAGTTTTTTTTTTTTTTTTTGGTTGTTCTTAATATAATACTCTTCTTGAGTCTTATTCTCAGTATGATATTTTTAAAATAAAGAATGAAACTTTGTTTGCTTTGTTGTTCCTTAGCTAATTGTTAAAATAATTAGGCCTTATTATTTTGGGTAATTTATTTAAGACAATAGAGCAATTAGTTGCTTACTGGCAACCAGACAAAGGAAGTGGGGCAAGATGCCAACCCATTTCTTTTGGCCTACCAGCCCTTAGAGTTGTGTGTTCCAGGGATTTGCTAATCACCAGCTGGCAACTGATACACAAGGCGGGAAAGACAGGACTCTTGAATGGTGCCCACTTACAAGTAAGATGGAGTGTGTACTGGCTTTAAGCCTCATCCGTTGGCATTCAGATCTTGCTGCCAGGGGAAAGACTTGATGATGGCAAAGAGCCTATGTGCTATCTCTTTGGTGTGTTTGTCCGATGTCATCAGCATTGTTCTTGACCCTCACTTTGGTTTAGCAATTAAGACTTGCTAAGTAGAATATACTACTCCAGTGGTATATGTCTGTCTCCCTGTCTATTTGTCCACCTGCCTGTCCATTCATCTCTCCATTTGTCTGTCTGTCCGTCCATCCATCCATCCATCTATCCAGTGAATACTGGGTTTAAGCCATTAATGAATGGGCTGAGAATTAACCTCTGAAAGCATTGTTTATAGTTGAGGCTGGCAGTCTTTTTCTGTAAGGGAACAGGTAGTAAATATTTTAGGTTTGCAGACCATGTTGTCTCTGTTGGAACTAGTCAGCTCTGCTGTTGTAGGATGGAAACAGCTGCAGACACGGTGTAAATCAATGGCATGGTTATGAGCAAATGAAATACTGTTTATAAAAAATCAACTTGCAGCTATAGTTAGCCTACCCCTCATTTAGACAGTGGAAGTATCTGACTCAATATAGTTGGGGAGCTACACAAAAACTTTCAAAGAAGTGCTTTAATGCCTATAAGTTTTCTAATACTGTTTTATGTTCTAGGTTTTTAACTTAATTATTGTCTGTTTTGGGATTTACCTCAAAAAGTAATTTTATAGATTTTACTGTTTTCTTTTTTTATTTAAACATAGTAATCATTTAGAAGATATTCAGCTCTGACACTGGTTATAGAAATGTCACTGGATTGGAAATATACAAAAAAAAACAAGGAATAAATTCACTACTGTATCACCCATAAAGCATCATTACATTTAATGGTTTTTACTTATAAACATGATTTTAAAAACTACTTTGACATGGAAACATGGTCAAGATATATTGATGAGGTAAAAAATGCAGATTGTAGACGATTTCTGAACAGGATGTATGATGTGATTCTATTTGTGAAAAGAAAGAAAAAATGTTGATGGAGAAAATGAACAAAAGGAAACAAAAGTTTTTTGCAGTATTTCTGCTGATAGTATTTTCACATACGAATTCAAGAAGAGCTAGGCATGGTAGCTCATGCCTGTAATCCCAGCATTTTGGGAGGCTGAGGGTGGCAGGAGTTTGAGATCAGCCTGAGCAACATGGTGAAACCCCATCTTTACTAAAAATACAAAAATTAGCTGAGTGTGGTGGCACATACCTATACTTCCAGCTACTTGGAAGGCTGAGGCAAGAGAATCACCTGAACCCAGGGGTCAGAACTTGCAGTGAGCTTAGATCGTGCCACTGAACTCCAGCCTGGGCAACAGATGAGACTCTGTCTCAAAATAATATAATAATAATAGCCAGGCACGGTGACTCACGCCTGTAATCCTAGCACTTCGGGAGGCTGAGGCAGGTGGATCATCTGAGGTCAGTTCAAGACCAGCCTGGCCAACATGATGAAACCCCATCTCTACTAAAAATACAAAAATTAGCCTGGTGGTAGTGGTGTGTGCCTGTAATCCCACCTACTTGGGAGGCTGAGGCGGGATAATCATTTGAGCCTGGGAGGCAGAGGCTGCAGATTGTACCACTGTACCCCAGTCTGGGTTCACAGAGTAAGACCCTGTCTCAAAACAAACAAACAAACAAACAAACAAACAAACAAACAAAGAGGGCTTTTCAGCATAACTGGGTTATCAACTTCCTACTCAATTTTATTTTGAAATTCAGTTTATAATTTTCTCCTAGATTCAGCCAACTGTATATTGCATGTACTTGGTTGGGCAGAGAAGTCATAAAATGGTTTTCTCTCAGATACCAGTGGCTTCCTTTGGCTTGCTAGAGCTGATTCATTTTTTCTTTTTGAGGTCTGCAGTATTCAGTTTTGAAAATTAAGGTGTTGTTAGTGGCTATGATTGATGAAGTGTTCATAGATGTAAGGTGAAAAAATAGAATGTACTTTAAAAATTGGCGCTACTATTTTGTCTCCTATTTTTTGAATCCCCATAAATTTGCTACTTTTTAGAAAATTGATCTGAGAACGTAATTTGATTTAATAAAATTTTATCACCTGTATTAACAATTTTTAAGAACAATTTTAGAGTTACAGAAAAAGTATGAACATAGTACGAAGTTCTTAGATACCACACACACATAGTTTGTCTTATTAACATCTTACATTAGTAGAATATAATTATTATAGTTAATAAACCAATATCGATATGTTCTTAATTGACTAAGTTCATTCTTTATTAAGATTTCTTTTGTTTCTAAAGTTTATTTCTTTTGTTCCAAGATAGCTGATATATTTTATACATTTATATTGCATTTATTCATCTGTGTGGTAATGTCATAGAGCCATATCATAAGTGCTATTTCTATTTTAAGTAATATAAAATTTAGATAAACAATAAATAAAGCTTTGCTACAATGAGGTTCTTAAATTCTTTTATGCACAAGTGTTACCTCAGAAAAAAATAACGTTGTTTATTTTTTTTCCTGTTCTGTATTTAGTGGAACAGGTTCCTGTAGAATCGTACAACATCCCACTGTCCCAGGCTGAAGTCATACAGGAAGGGAGTGACGTTACGCTGGTTGCCTGGGGCACTCAGGTGAGTAGCATTGATTCCAACTGTTAAAACCTGTGTTGTGCTTGGAAGCTCTCATTTTAAATCCTGATACATGAAAAATGGAAAGCAATGTTTTCTGTATATCTCAGATTAAGTCTGGTGCTACTGATGCTCATTTCTTTTTTTCCCCAACTTTATTGAGGTATAATTGACTAAAATTATATATATTCAAGGTATATATGTGATGATTTGATATATGTATACTTTGTGAAATGATTACCATAATCAAATTAATTAATGCATCCATCAACACACATATTTACTATTGTGTGTGTGTGTGGTTGGGGGTGGTGGTTAGAACACTTCAGATCTATTATTTGCTCCAGTCACTGTGCTGTGTATTAGATCCTGAGAACCTCCTCATCTTATAACTGAAGGTCTGTAGTACTGATTTCTGAGTGAAGGTGAGGTGTATTTATATTAAACTGTGTAAGCATGTGGTGGTCATAAATATATTGCAACAGTGTGTTAAGTAAAAACACATTTCTTTTGAAGTATATTTATACCCACGTTACTTTTGCTGCAAATTACTTATAATCTTTTTCATCACATTTCCTGCCATCTCTCATGGTTACTTTGCTGGCCATGTGGACCCATCCTCTGATCCAGACTCAGAATTCTATATCTTTCTTTTTTTCCAGTGACCCTCTCCACTGATCCAGTTCATTTCCCCCCAGGCTTGTTGTCACATTGCTCTACCTCCCAACTTTCTCTCTGGCCATGAACTCCTATTTCTTCCACTTGTCTCTCTCCTTCTTTTAAAGATACGGTCAATTATTCTTTTTCTGTATAAAGGAAATCCTTATTTTAGGAACTTTAGGGCAACACAATATAAAGAAGATAATAAAAATAGATTTCAGTATCACAAGCTCCTGCTCTCCTCTCCTTTTGATTTTTGGCGTGGAGAGCTATGGTCCTCATGGTTTCTCTCCATCAGTGAGGTAACTGTGCTGCTTGGTGAGTTGTATTCCATTGACAGTGCCCTTGGAGGCTGTGGCAAACCTTTTTGCTGTCCTTCAGTCCACTTTTTAATCCACATCTCTGTTACTCTCAGCTCATGACCTTACTTCTCTTTTCAGTAGGGAAGTTAGGGTGTATTAGGTATTAACTCACATGGCTTGCTCTTCCTTTTGCTTTTAATTCTTTTCTTCTCTTTGTCTTTGAAGAAGAGGTGTCTGGTTTTCATAATGACCTCTGCAATATCTGTTTCAGACTGCATTCCATTTTATCTTCTCGAGGACTGTGATCTATTAGCTAGTCTCTCTCTCACTTTGCATCTTCAGTTTTCCATTTCTTGTTGCTCTTATTCAAAAAGTTCGTCTCTCTTCACTAAAGAATTCCTCTCACTGTAAATACCATTGCATCTCCTTCCTTTTAACACTGAACTTGAACAACTGTTTTCTATTGTCTATATTTAATTTCTTAACTTCATTATATTCTTGTACCTGTGAGTTCCATTCCCACTAATTTACTGTTTTTGTCAATGTTACTAATTTAGTTGTTTAAATTCAGCTCTTATTCCTGCTATGGTATGTGATACTGGCTGCCATCCCTGTAAAATCTTTTCAGCTTCTGGAATATACTGTCTCTTGGTTTTCTTTCTAGCTCTTTAATTGTTCTTTTTATCCCCTTTTTTTTCTTTCTTTCCCTTCCTCCCTCCCTTCCTCTCCTTTCTCCTTCCTCTCCTCTTGCTCCATTTTTTTCCTTAAATGTTGGCAATTTTTGCTCTTCTCCCTCTACATGCTTTCTACCTACTGGTGTGACTGTTTACCTTCTGTGTGCCATCGTTGTAATCAGTATCTCTGGTACTCACTTCTCTCTTTTTCTCTAAGCACCTCTTTCCATCTGTTTTCTAGATGTCTATACTTATTATTTTGGCAGAATATGAGATTCAACATATTTAAAACAAATTTATGAATTCTCCATGCAGATCAATTCCTGAAACTTTAAATACTATCTCTAATAGTGATGTCAGAATTCAGCTAGTTTTTCAGGCTGGAACCTTTGTAGTCATTCTCTGCATAATTTTCTCTTTGTTTCAGGTTCATGTAATTCGGGAGGTAGCTTCCATGGCAAAAGAAAAGCTTGGAGTGTCTTGTGAAATTATTGATCTTAGGACTATAATACCTTGGGATGTGGACACAGTTTGTAAGGTATGAATGTAGTGGTGATAGAATGTCATTTTTCTAAAACCTTTGGCCAAATATGTTGTATATTTGCAAATAATTCTTTTGAAATTGTGAGCTATATGAGCATTTTCAAGTGATCTAAAACTTTTGAATTTGCAACATGAAAGAAAGTTATATAAACAGCTTCATGCTCAAGGAAACAAATCACTGTAGAATTTTCTATTTTCCTCCAGTAGTTTTCTCTGTTTAAAATATTGCAAAACTGAGTCCGTGCAGTCACCTTGGGTTGAGTTGTGTGAGTCATGGAGCATATCAAGGATACCAATGCCACTTGTGTTTTTGGCTTCTTATTGGTTATGGTTCAGTAATCTAGGTTTAATTTACGTAAATGAAATGGTTTGGCTGAATTTTCATTTATCTCCAAAAGTAATGGTGATGGATTTTTTTTTTAAAAAATGACTCTGTATGTCGTCTTAATACTGTGGATTACAGTTTAAGACTTATGTGGAGATTCTGGCTGCTCTAATTTACAGTTTCTGTCTAAATAGTCTCATGACCTTTGGCCTGATTACATTGATCTTGTTGTTACTATTAAGATTTACAAAGCCAATTCCCTCTTAAGAATATAGTTTAGTTCTTATTTACCTGTTTATATCCAATATCTTTCATATCAATTTCAAGATAATTTAAGAAGTATATATTTTCATATTGATACAAAGAAGGTTAAGCACTTTTTTTGTAATAGTGTGATCAATTAAGGCTAACTAAATGTAATTGTAAATTATATGTACCTAGTCTTAAAAGATTAATTAGTACAGTAGATACATGTCTAACTGATACATGTACAATTACATATATAATTGTGAAAAATAATACATGTCATTGTCTAGGTAACAGTGACATGTATTATTTTTTCTTGATTTACTGCTATAGTCCTAAGACCTAGGCTATTTTATATTTACCACTTTTAAGAGCTTTGGCATTCTCATAGCTTTTGCAGGCTATTTCTTGGGTTAGTTAATGAAAATAATCTGCAGATACTACTGCTATAAAACAGGCTATTTCTTTGGTTAGTTATATGAAAATAATCTTCAGATACTACTGCTATAAAAGTATAGCCTGGGATTTTTTTAGGTGAAGAGTGTTTTAAAATTTAGTAGAAGATGTAAGATTTCTTATAGTAAATGTTTCTGAAGACTCACTTGACACCATCTAAACACTTGACATGCTTACAAATGGTTTCAACAATATCCTGAGCCCTTCTATTTGTAGTTGCTGTAATTAAGAGCACTATTTCAGATTGAGTTATCATAGCTACATAAAAATAATTTAATGCTTATTGTAGGCATTTTCAAATCAAGTCAGACACCAGGTTTTCTTTCAAATAGCCAAATGTTCCAAATTATAGTTAAACCAGAGTTGGCTTCTTGTTTGCAGCATGTATTCACTATTTATTCTGGGGTTTGCATTTTTAGTGTAGATGGTGCTTCTGTATGGGGATATGATATTTTCTCATGGCGCAGTGCGGGAGTGTTCATATATAGTCAGGGCAAGCACTTTTAGGACTTTATTTATGTGTGTATGTGTGTGTGTGTGTGTGTGTGTGTGTGTGTGTGTGTGTGTCTACACCTTAAACATTCAAAAAAGATTTGTAGCAGCTTATGGTAAAGCACAAGTATACAAAGAGAGGAGAGGTAGGAGAAGAAAAAAGGGAGAAATTGTCTATATTTACGTTGATATCAGTTTGCTTTTGCATCAGTGTATTGAATCTACTGGTTACATCTTTGTCTGATCCTAGAATGCAGATACATTTTCCTTAGGGCTCTATCCTACTGGGAAAGATGAAAGAGGAGACAGGCTATCTCTACTGAATGAGAAAGTGATGCATCAGACCTCTGACTTATTAGCGTCATTATTTTATTTTGTTTTGGGATGCTTTCATCATGTTATTTTTCCAGTTGATGACCCTCCAGTTGTGACAGTGAAAGCCAGCTTCTTGACTGCTTTGGGTCCAGTTGAGACTCTTTTCATTGCTGATGATATTACCTCTCCTATTTTCTTTTGATGTATCAAAAGAGGGAAAATTTTGATATTTAGCTTTTTCCTCTTAGGATTTAGAGATGACCAAATATTTATATTGAAAATGAGGATTTTTTTTAACCCCCAGAGTGAAGCTTTTTAAATTCATCTTGATGAATTCTATAGTAACCAAAATTTATGTTATAATCTCTTTTAATTAGTTGTGTTTTATCAGTTGTTTTGTCTTATGACTCATTATTTCCTCAGTTTTATTCATTACGTGTCAACTAAACCCCAGTATGTATCTTTTGGAGTGCCTAATTGAGAAAAGAAAGCATATTAAAGGCAAAAATGATGGTTGAACACATACATTAACACTCTGCACAGTAAAATGATTCTTGGACACTTGAGGAATTCATACTTCTTGCTTAATCCTTGATGCATGGTTTGGAAGTTATAAACCAAAATAAATACTTGTTCGGGAATGGAGAAAGCAGCAGAGTTTTTGAATGTTGCTCAAGGGAGTTACAAAATTAGAGACTTAAATGGGCCTAGAAACCACAGCTAGTTTTTCCACTCAATTCTGAACCCGATAGTAAAAAGCTGAGCTGGAGATTTCTGAAAAACACAGTAGAAAATTCTTGAGTTTGAGGTGCCTGAGAGATAGAGACCTACCCTGTCCCATGGGTGTGTGATGTGTGTGTGTGTGTGTGTGTGTGTGTGTGTGTGTGTGTGTGTGTAAGTGGAGTGGCTTAACAGAATCAGCTATGAGAGTTCAAAGCCCTGAAATGAGCGACAGATTGACACTGATGACCTATCGCTGCTTTTTAGTTGGTGACACTTGCTATTTGGTCTCAATCAGGTGTATAGAATCCAGGTGTATAGAACCCATGTTTTGTGGGGCTGTAGTGACAGAATTGAAATTTGAGGGGATTTAAACACATACTTGACCTTTCTGTCAAGATATTTACCAAATTCTAAAACTGTGAATGGTAAAAAGTAAGCAGAAAATATCTGGATAGTGAAGCTATCACTTGATAATGCAGCAACAAAGACCAATCATACTCTCAATTGAAAGCCATAGAGAGTTAGGTCTTATAATTAGAGTCAAAGCACATGTAGACCAGGTCATCTCAAACTCACAACACAGCCTCTACCCCTCTGAGTTTCTTAGTGAATTAATGTACCTTTACTCTATCTGCCCAGCAGAGCAAAGAGTCAATCCTCTAATTATCTGGAACTTCTATGAACCAGCATTCAATAAAAAAATTGCTAAGTAGATGAAGAGACAGGAATATTTGATCAATAGCAAAGAGGAAACAAACAAAAAAAGAAACAGCTGATCCAGCTATTGGAGTTAGTAGACAAGGACATCTTGATTGTTATGCTTAGGAATATAGAGAAAAGAAGGAACAAAAGAGGTAAGAGGATGGAGAATTACCCTAGAGAATTGGGGGTGTGTGTATGTGTACATGTATGTATATGGATCAATTAAACTCTGCGGAGCCATCAAAAAAATATATATCTGACAATAAGAACTCAATGGATGAGTTTATGACATATTAGACTCAGTAGATGATAGCAATAATGACCTGGAAGGGTAGCTAATAGAATATGTTCAAATTGAAGCACAAGTCAGAAAAGAGGATAAAGCACATTTGGGATCTGGTCAAAAGATCTGTTTTATATACGATTTAATTCCAGAAAAAGAAGAGAGAGAAAATCAATCAGCAACAATATCTAAAAGAATTTTTTGGGAAAGTTTCAGAACATCATTACACAAGCTTTGTTAACCTTTGAGAAGATTGTGTTAAAAGAAAACCACACCTACATACACAGTGGCATGACATCTTAAATTTCTGACTACGCTAGCCTAGAATTCTATACCTAGTGAAAATATCTTTTTTAAATGAAGATGAAATAAAAATAGTTAAGGCAAACAGAAATTGAGAGAATTATTGCTAGCCGGTCTCAGTAAAAGAAGGTACTGCAAGGGAGCTCCCTTCGGCAGAAGGAAAATGATCCTAAAAGAAAATACAGAGGAGAGCATAACCTGTAGCCCAATACTGATTGTCTGAAAAAGTTGTGATAATTTTCTGTGAAGTTTAAGTTAAATATATGGAATTGAAATGTAAGACAATAAACACAAAAGCCAGGGGTTTTACATAGAGTTAAAATATTCTGTTTTTCTAGGATTATTATGAAGTGTAATGTTCTGATTAGGTTATAATCAATGATACAAATTATAATTGCTAATGTAACAACTGAAATAACAATGAAAGAATGCATATCTAGCAAGTTAATAAGAGAACTATAAAGTAATAAAAATATTTAGTTAATCCAAAAGAAAGAAAAGTAGTAAGTATAAAAAAGTGGATGGATCAATAGATAACAGATAACAAGATGATATAAACCCAAATATAGAAGTAATTAAATACAAAAGGATTAAATAAACTTAGTAAAAGTCTAAGATCCTCAGACTTCATTAGAAAAAACAACTACTGACACCACACGTAGCTTAAAAAGGCATACTTTAAATATAAGGACATCAAAATGTTGAAAATAAAGGGATGGAAAAAGAAAGCTGGTGTAGATATACTAATTTCAAATGAAGCATTAAGGCAAAAAGGATTACTTGAATGAAGAGGGGCATTTCATAATGCCAGAGGGACCAGTCCACCATGAAGATATCTCATAATCCTATTTTGTCCTCAATAATATAGTTTTAAAATAAAAAAAGCAATAGACTAAACAAAGAAAACACAGAACTCAGAAGAGATATGAACACATTCATAGTTACAGCAGGAGATTTTAAGACATTCGTCTTAAATGTTGCTTAATCAAGCAGACAAAATATTGTTATGTGTATAGAAGATCTGAAGAAAACAATTTGTAAACTTGTCCTAATTGTGTACCAAGCTATTCCAGAAATCATTCTTTTTAATAGAATATGTAGCATTTGTCAAAATGGCCAAATGCTGGGCAATAAATACAACCTTAAAAAATTCCAAAAGCTTAGAATCATTTAGAGTATGTTCTGTAACAAAAGTGGATTTGGTTAGAAATCAAGAGAAAGAAAAGGACAACTGGAAAAGCCTCAACTTCCTACAAATTAAGTACTTTACTTCTTTTTCTTTTTTTTTTTTTTTGAGACAGAGTTTCACTCTTGTTACCCAGGCTGGAGTGCAATGGTGCGATCTTGGCTCACCGCAACCTCCACCTCCTGGGTTCAAGCAATTCCCCTGCCTCAGCCTCCCAAGTAGCTGGGACTACAGGCGCGCGCCACCATGCCCAGCTAATTTTTGTATTTTTAATAGAGGCAGGGTTTCACCATGTTGACCAGGATGGTCTCGATCTCTTGACCTCGTTATCCACCCACCTCGGCCTCCCAAAGTGCTGGAATTATAGGCGTGAGCCACTGCACCTGGCCCAAGTACTTTACTTCTAAATAATGGTAGATTACAAAAGAAACTAAAACAAAAATTAGAAAAGAGGCTGAACTGAATGTTAATAAAGATATAATATATCAAAAATTTCAAGGAGCAGCGTAAGCCATGCTCAGAGGAAACTTTATAGCTGTAAATACATAAATTTAGGAAATAATAAGAATTAAAAAAAATTTATGATCTGAATTTCCATCTCCAGAAAGAAAATCAAACCTAGAGAAAGTAGAAGAAATGAAATAATAAAGAGTAAAAATTACTGAAGTTGAATCTGTAGAATAGAGAAATTTAATAAAGTAAAAATTTAGATCTTTGAAGAGATTAATGTAATTGATAAACTTTTAACTAATGGAAAAAATAGAGCAGAAACAAATGACAAATATTTGTTTGTATGATGTAGAGCCCACAGACAGTGGTAATATAAAGGGGATGTTATGAATGATTTTATAAATAAGTTTTGAGTAAAGCTGACAATTTCCTGGAAAAATATAAATCATTCAACATTGATACAAGGGAAATTAGTAAATCTAAATAGTTGTGATCTATTAAAAAAATTAAATGTTATTAACTCCATACAAAGAAAACCCCAGGCCTAAATGGCTTTATTGGTGAATTATCTAAAATATAGTCCTTATGCACACCCTTACTGTGACATGGTAATTGCCCCATAAACTGCATACCTCGACCATACCTTGGCTTTCTGTTGAAACTGCCCTCTATAACCCTAATGTGACAGGCAAGCAGTCCAAACCTACACCATCTTGGCCCCCGGAACTTGTAATAAGTAACTAAGGTCTGTAATTTCCACCCTACCCAGACAATGTATAAACTAACGCTTATCTTGACTTCTGTAAACCACTTAATAACAATTGGAATGTCCAAAGTCCACTGGTCCTCGGAATGTTGGAAGCCCCTCGCCCTCACCCCCGCCCAAGAGGTGTTGTATGGGCATAAAAGGTCTTGACACCCTCCTTTCGGGGCCACGGGTTAGAGAGACTCCAGTCCTCCGTGGCCACCAGCAATAAAGACCCTGTAATTTGGTCTAGGCTTTGTCTCAGTGGTGATTTCATGCTCGCTTGGTTACAACATTACGGAGAGTGGAATCCAAGGGAAAACTTCCAAATTTTTTTTTATAAGGCCAGCATAATCTTAAACCTATTTAGGATAGTATAAGAAAGGAAAATTATAGACAACTTTTAAAATATATGTAGATCACGTAGGTAATGTTCATAAATATTCACAAAGCAGTTGATGCAATTCTTCATATTAACAGAAAACAGATAAGGAAAAACTCTGATTATCTTGATAATGCAAGAGAAGTATTTATTAAAATTCAGCATTTATTCATAATTAAAATTTCGTAGCAACCTAGAAATGGAAGTTAATTATCTTACTCTGATGAAAGGGTAGCTGCAAAATGCCTGCAGCAAAAATTATAATTTCGACAGCTTTCCTCTTGAGATTAGGACTATCTAGGAAAAAATTTAGTGATACTTACATCAGAACTTTGCACAGAAAATCACAAAATATTATTCAGGAAAATTAAAGACCCATAAACTAAAGCATATAGCGTGTTAGTCAATTGTAAGGCCAAGAAGAGCCAGAGCAATCTTGAAGAAGAACAAAATTGGAAGACTTAATTATTAAATGTTGAGATGTGTTATTAGGGCTGTAGTAATTATAATATTATATAGGTATAAAAATACACAGATAGACCAATGTAATAAAATAGGTGTCTAGAAACAGACGTGCTGGTTATCTGATTCAGGACAAAGGTGACTTTGAAATTTTGAGAGGAAAAGGTAGTTTTTTTCCAATGGAGGATGTTGATTCATTTAGGTACTATGAAAAATAATTGTATTAACTCTTACCACACAAACATCAATTTCAGCTGAGCTGCAGATCTAATTGTGAAAGAAAAAAAAATAACGCTCCTGGGAGAAAGCACAGGTGAATATGTTCATGTGATCTTCTGCACTAATGAAACACTAACATTAAGAAAAGGCTGATAACATTGTGCTTTATCACAATTAAGAAAATTTATTCATCAAAAGGGCACCAATAAGAGAGTAAATAGATAATCTACAGATTTGGGGAAACTCAAGGAAACTTACATCCAGAAATATCAAGTACTTTTACAATCAAAAAGAAAAGACAAATATCCAATAGAAATACGGGGAAAAGTCTTGAAAAGGTACACTAAATGTTGGCAAGAATGTGGAGCAGCAATTCAACTCTCATAGACTATTGTTGATAATATAAATTTGTACAACCATTTTGGAAAATTGTTTGGCAGTATCTATCTGAACCCTGTAAACTAGCAATTCCAATTCTTTATGTGTATATATGAAGAAATATACAAAAAAATAAACACAGAAATGTTCATGGGAAGATTATTTCTGCTAGCCCCACACTGTAAACTGACTACTCATCAACTAGAGAATGGAGCAATAAGAAGTAAATGTAATATTGTTCAGCAATGAGAATAAATGAACTAAAAATGTAATGGAATAATGTGTATTCATCTCACAAACACAAAGAAGCCAGACTCAAGTAAGTACATACTGAAAGATTTCATTTATATAAAGGTCGAAAATAGACAAAACTAATTGATGGTGTTAGAAGTCAGACTAGTGATAATCATGAGAGTGGTTAATACTTGGAGCAGTGCTAGGGGGTTGCTGGTGACAGTTTCTTGTTCTCAGTGCTGATTATTTAGGTTAAATTTTTGAAAATTTAGCAGAACACTCGGTGCACCTTTTTTTTGCATATATGTTGAACTTCAACAAAAAGTTTTTTAAAAAATAAAAAGAAGCTACATCTTCTGTTTAATTCATTTCCTTTCTTCACATTGTAGTAAGCCCTTGTATGGACTCAGGGAGAGCCTTGGTGTCCTTAGCCAGGAAGTTTCCTTTTATCATGCGGCTCTGTCCACACCCTTCCTTCAGTTTCTCTGGGCAACTCAGCTCAGTTGTCATGCTGATG